GAGAGAGAGAGAGAGAGAGTTGAGTGATACAAGATTGGTTGTGCAGTTCGACGAAGAAGGGAGTGGCGGCCATAGCCGCAGAGCTCGGACACGGGTTGACGAAGGACGGAGAAGTGGAGAAGAGTCGGAGGAGAGACCGAAGAGGAAGAGGAAGACATAGTTGAGGAAGGAGGAAGGAGGGGCAACGAAGTTCCATTAATTAAAACAAAATATGCTGGAAGATAGACATAGCCGAGGGTGAATAAAAAAAAAATAATAATAATAATAATAAAAAATAAAAAAAGAAGAAGAAAATGAGAAAGAAGAAAAGGTGAAGGAGGGGGAAAGAGAAGTGAAGGGTGGCGAGGAAGGAGGTGCCAGCAGTCATAGCTGACTTGGAGGTTGACTGGGCGTTGACAAAGGGTTGACCGGGCGTTGACCAAGGATTGACCGGCATCGACCGTAGGGTTGACCGGAGCTGTTGACCACGATTTTGACCAAGCTGGAGTTGGTAAGATCTCGCCAAGCCCTTAGCGTATCCCCTCATCTTATGGATGTGCACTCACCCTATGGTACTTGCTGAGTCTGAGTGTGTTTGTCTTTTCTTTCTGCATTGAGTCTCTTCTGTCCAGGTGATAGGACTCCGTGTATAAAGGATAGGGCCTCGTTGACCAAACCCACACGGGCTGAGTAGGGCTAAAGACTGTGTCTGACGTCTCGACTGTCCCGGAGGACACGAACCATCCCAAGAACCGGTACTGACCGACGGGCTGCTCGGTGTGGCATGGTAGGCCCAAAATCCGAGTTGTGGGCTGCACAACGGGCCGTCTAAGTCTTGAGAGGATCTGCTGACCGCGTCGTCCTGTTTGCGACGTTAAAGAATTCTTGAGGAGTTACGGGGGATCTCCTTAAATGCCTCCTAGTCAACAACAGATCATGTAGTGACGACTGTAGTATTAGAGTCTAGGCTAGAGACCATAGTTGACAACGTTCCATACGGATCCTGTGGTCCATAGACTGAGTCAGTCTTTAGTTGAGTCAGTTAGGGGGAGAGTCTAAGTGGTGAGGAGTGGGACTGTCACTTGGTTGTGAGTCAGTCTTAAGTTGAGTCAGTTAGGGGGAGAGTCTAAGTGGTGAGGAGTGGGACTGTCACTTGGTTGTGCACCTTTCACCATGGTTGACAAGTGTAGTGGTTGGAGCACCTCCCCTTGCACAGCAGAACAGGAGGCGAAAGCAGAGAAAAGAAAAGAAAGAGGCCAAGAAGAAGACCCTGATGGAGGAACAGGGGGCGAAATTGAGAAAGATTGAGGAGGAGATGGCCAGAGAGAGAGAGAGGCTGAGGAAAGAGCAGGAAGAGAAGTTGAAAGCGGTAGAAGAGGAGGAAGAGGTAGAAGAACAACTACTGGAAAGGAGAAGAAGGGGGCAAGGAGGTGAATCCAGTGGTACAAAGGAAGATCAGATGGAGAAGAAAATTATGGAGTGGGTTGCTGGTTTATCCCTGGGGGAAGAAGAGGAGGCACTGATGTATGTGCCCAGAGAAGAACAAGAGGCCGCCATGAAAGAGTGGGATGCAGAAGAAGACCCACTCAAGCGGCAGGCGATAGAGGATGAGAAGAGGATGGAGTGGAAGTTCCGATTGACGAGGGAGAGGAAAAGAAGAATGGAGTCGGCGAGCCAGGCGGCGAAAGAATTAGCGGAGGTAAAGAAGCAAAGAGAGCAGATGGCGACACAGGTGGACCTATTGGGGAAAATGGAGATAATGGCGAGAAACATAGAGCGCCTGGCACAGGTCCAGGAAGAACAATATCTGTTTGGTAGAGGTCAGGACATTGCCTTACGCTCTATACGGCCGGGGCTCCGGGACTTCACCAGGGAATTGGCGACGCAGGTGGGCTCAGAGGTGAGGACCCGCCTAGAAGGCATGGAACGTTATTGTACGGACGCCATAGAAGGCGTTAGATTGACTGCTCCCAAGGAGGAGGAAGCACGTCCCCATAGGGAGCCGGTCAAGGTCAAGTTCCCAGATTCCTATAGCTGGAAGAAGGAAGAAAATTTTGATAATTGGGAAGCCAATATCAAAACATACGTGCACCTACAGAAAGTCTCCCCGGATGAGCACGTCCTAATAGCCATTCACACCCTGAGGGAGGCGGCAGCCAGTTTTGCCAGGTCCCTGTGCCGCGCAACCAACTGCAATGATGATTTAGTCGCCTACTCTGCATTCACTCCCCTCAATGGTTTTCTTAAGCTATTGTGCGAACGATTTGCAGATGTCTCGCGCAACGTCAAAGCCTCCGATCGATTGCAAACCATCCACTCTTGGCAGTGGAAGAGTGCTAGGGCACTCAAAGGTGTGATGGATGAGTTGGTAGCCATTCCTGACCATGGGGTTACTGAGACCCAATTGGTCAACCTCTTCTACCGGGCTATGCCCGAACAATTACGAGGGCACTTCTTCGAGAAGAGCCAGCAGGCCACCATGACCTACGACGCATTGAGCAGGGAAGTGGTGGCGTTCAAAGCGAGGTCCATGTCAATTTCCACTTTTTGGCATAAGGACCTAGATAAGGGCAAAAAGTGGAAGGGTCGCACCATCTCGGGTCAGGTCAAGACCAACGATCATTTGATCCTTACGTTAGATGAGGGTGGTGTCGACGAAGTCCCCTACGAGCAGATTGAGTGGGGACTAGAGGAGGAGGACATTGGCGTTAGCCAGGGGAGGACTTACGCTGTTGTCGTGGTCGGAGGGAGGCCGCAAGGAGGAGGTAGAGGCCACGGCCAAGGGGGTCGGGCCTCAGGGGGCCGTTCCCAGGGCGATCAGGGGGTTGGTGGTAGAAGAGGAAACCACCAAGCGGGAGGAAGGGGTCAAGGTCCCCCACAAAACCGTTCAGGGAATAGGTCGCCTAATAGGGGTAATAGATCACCCTATAGGAGAGGAGGATGGCACCCAGTTCTGCCACAGGGTAGGCCTTGGGAGGATTTGGGCACCAGCGCGTCTGGCAACAGCGTGTGGACCAGGGGCAGTGCATATATTGCGGTGACCCTGGCCACATCATCAAATTTTGTTCGAAGTACAGAGAGGCCCGTTCGGCTGCCCTGGGGTCAAAAGGCAGCCGCCGGTAGGGGTAGCAACTGCCCCTACCATAAGGCCATGTGGGGAAACGAGCACGAGCCGGCAAGAAACTCCCACACCACATGTGCCTATGGCAGAAGTTGCAGGCCGGTGCCTAGATAGCTGTCCAGAGACTGTTTGTGTTAGGGTCTCTCTAGGCACTTCCCTCACAGGCGTGGCCGATGAGTTAAAGGAGAGGATGCCTGCCTGGGCCAAAATGAAGAAGGAGAGTAGGGGACAACTAGTTTTAGTAGATGTAGAGGTTTTCAGAGGTAGAGTAGGGGCATTAGTAGATAGTGGGGCCACGCGCAGCTATATCAATAGAAAGGCGTTGCAGAAGTTGAAGTTGGGGCTAAAAGTCCATAAGTTAGCAGACCCCATAGTGAGTATCGTCGCAGACAATCGCACGATGCGAGTAGAGGATTATGTAGAGGGAGTCCAGGCGTACTTTCGCCTAGAGAAAGATGGGAAGGTGGAGAAAGTTCTCCATTCCCTGACTCTCCTCGTAGAGGACAACCTTCCTTTCGATATAGTCCTAGGAATGGACTGGGAGAGGCAGCCGGGGCCACACTCCATTTGAGAGAGCACGAGTGTAGGCTCCCTAGTCCATCAGGCGGGGTCAAGACTGCCCGTTTGTTCCATGTGTCAAGAGTAGATAACTCCTTGGCACATTGCTGCCTTAGCGCTCCTGCGTTTGCAAGATTAGTGAAGAAGGAGCAGCTAGAAAAACACGTCTTTATAGCCTATGTCAGGCCAGTTACTGAGCCTAAAGAGGAAAAGCCCATGGATTCCGCTATTGCCAAGCTGCTGGAAGACTATGTAGATTTAGCCCCAAAGGAGCCTAAAGAGGAAAAGCCCATGGATCCCGCCTACGGGAGTAGTCCCGCGGCCCATCCAGCACCGCATTGAGATAGAGCCTGGCAGTAGGACTCCTAAAGGAGCAGTGTATAGGATGTCCCCGTGGAAATTGGAGGAGCTGCGCAAGCAGTTAGACGAACTCCTAGAGAAGGGTTGGATTAGGCCCAATTCGTCTCCATTTGGAGCACCTGTTCTATTTGTCCCAAAGAAGGAGGGAGAACTTAGAATGTGCATTGACTATAGGGGTCTTAATGCTATCACAGTGAAGAATGTGGAGCCATTGCCCCGTATAGATGATCTTTTAGATTGGGTGCAGGGTTGCAAGTATTTTTCGAAGATAGATATGGAGTCCGGATATCATCAGATAGAGGTCCATCCTGATGATCAGTATAAGACCGCGTTCCGGACTAGATATGGGCACTACGAGTTTGTAGTTATGCCCTTTGGACTAACCAACACGCCAACAATATCTCAACGTTGTATGAATGACTTGTTTAGGCCGTGGTTAGACAGGTTTGTAGTAGTCTATTGAGATGACATTCTAGTGTTCAGTAGGACCCTCCAGGAGCATGAGGGTCATCTGAGGCAGGTCTTGGAAAAGCCGAGAGAGGCCAACTTCAAGATCAACGCAAAGAAGTGCGAATGGCAAAGCCCCAAGTTCTGCATTTAGGCCATGTTTTAGACGGAGATGGTATTAAGCAAGAAGCAAGATCGCAACGATTAGAGATTGGCCTACACCCCGCACGTTGACAGAATTGCGGTCGTTCTTAGGCCTAGCGAATTACAATAGGAAGTTTGTGCGCAACTTCTCCACCATCGCTGCACCCCTTCGCAGGTTGATGAAGAAAGAACCGATCTGGAAGTGGGACAAGAACTGCATGTCTGCCATGAAGAAGTTGAAGCAGGCGGTGATAGAGTACCCAATCCTTAAGGTAGTCGATCCGTCCTTACCTTTCGTCGTCACTGCGGATGCGAGCCAATATGGAATAGGCGTTGTGTTACAGCAAGACAACGGCAACGGATATAGACCCGTAGAGTTCATGTCTGCTAGGATGCCTTCAGAGAAGGTCGCGACATCCACCTATAAGAGGGAACTCTACGCTCTCAGGCAAGCATTAGAACACTGGAAGCACTACTTGCTTGGGAGGCACTTCAAAGTCTGTTCAGACCACGAGACATTAAGGTGGTTGAGGACTCAGGCCAAGATGACACCTAAGCTGACTAGGTGGGCCGCAGAGGTAGACCAATATGATTTTGAGCTCAAGCCAGTAAAAGGGAAGTATAATGTAGTTGCGGATGCTCTTAGTAGGAGAGCTGACTACTTTGGAGCAATAGTCCATTACCTAGATATAGGGAGAGACCTGCAACAGAAAGTTAGAGAGGCATATGTGCATGACCCTATTTATAGCGACCTCCTCAAGAGACTTAAGGAGGCCCCAAAGACCGAGCCAGATTACCACAATACAGAGGGGTTGCTATTCGAGAAGACTAATGTAGCAGACCGCTTGTGCGTTCCCAACAACGAGGAGATTCGTAGTCTGATCCTAGGGGAATGTCATGATACAGAGGGACATTTCGGTCGGCAAAAGACTCTAGCCAATCTAATGCACGCGTACACTTGCCCAGGGATGAAAAATGACTGCATAGAGTATGTTCGCAGTTGTAAGGTTTGCCAGGGGAATAAGACTACTACGCGTGCCCCCCTAGGTCTTCTCAGACCTCTGCCTATTCCTGATCAGCCAGGAGATTCAGTGTCCATTGACTTTATGGACGCTGGCGTCAAGAGTAGGCATGGCAAGAGCCAAGTCATGGTCATAGTTGATAGATTTAGTAAGTATGCTGTTTTTGTCCCATTACCTGCAGAAGCTCGAACTGAGCTAGTAATTCAGAAGTTTTTTTATCATTGGGTTAGTGAACACGGGGTTCCACTATCTATAGTTAGTGATAGAGACACCCGGTTCACTAGTAAGAACTGGCAGGAGTTGATGAGAGTCTATGGCTCCAAGTTGCTGATGTCATCTGGCCGTCATCCAGAGACCAACGGTCAAGACTGAACAGATGAATAAGATCCTGCAACAAGTTCTGCGTATGTACATCAGACCGGATCAGATCAATTGGGATGAGATGTTGCCCAAAGTAGCCAGTGCGTACAATAACAGCGTGCACTTGTCTACCTGTCGCACTCCCAACGAGTTACACAAGTCCTTTAGACCACGCAGACCGTTTGAGGGACTTAACCGGGACCAGATTCACTGGCTACCGCCCGGTACTAGGGAGTTTGCGTTACAGCACGAGAAAGAGTTAGCTACCGTGGTAGAGAACCTCAGGAAGGCCCAASACCGAATGATAGAACAAGCTAATAAGCATCGTCGCCCGTCACAGTTTCAAGTAGGTGACCTGGTCTGGGTCAAGTCCAAAGAGTTTGCTCCTGAGGAAGACATCTCGCAGAAGTTACAGCCCGCGTATAGAGGACCGTGGCCAGTTCTAGAAGTTAAGGGCGGAGAGGATGGGCCGTCCAACACAGTAGAGGTCCCAGCACACCTCCACACCTACCCTGTGTTTCATGCCTCAAAGTTGTTGCCGTATGTCACAAGTCAGTTTCCATCTAAGATCCATGATTCCTCCAGACATGGACGGAAGATACGACATTGACAGCATTGTAGGTGAAGACGTGTTCAGAACAGGAGGTAGAGGTCGTCCACAGAAGCAGTACAAGGTTCGATTTGCTTATCAGGAACCAGAAGACGACCGCTGGTTTACTTCTAGAAACAGCTCCCGACATAGTTAGAGCCTACGAAAGAGATAAGAAATGTAAAGGTCCTGCCTTGGACTGAGTTATTCTTGGAGGACCTCGAATTTAGGCCGGCGGGAGTGAAACGGTTTTCACCTGCCAGCAGTAGCAAATGCAGATCCCAGGGCTCGATCCCTAGTTCTGACCTTACCTGTGTACAGTATCGAGTTGACCCCTGAGTGTTTGAACCCGTGACCTGTGTTTTGTTAGTTGTTGTTTGTCTGTCGTAGGACTGTGCAGATGTAGGGATTCGATCTGTAGGTCTGTCGAGTAGGGGTCACAGCTCTGTAGAGGTCGTAGCTATAGGTCTACTGAAAGGTCACGGTCGTAGCTGCTACAGCCCTGAAAGGTCAAGGTCGTAGCTGCTACAGTACCCGAAAGGCCAAGTCCTCAGACTTCCGGAAGGTCCCGGAAGTGGCCTTTCGGAGTGGGCTCACGTTTAGGCAGAGGTGGGCAAGTGGTGGAGCCAACCTCAGTCCGTTGGCAGTGCGACTGCAGTGAGTCTGTGGTGCAAACCCATGCAGTCAGCGGTACCGGTCCAGTCAGTCCCAGTCCAGTCCAGCAAGTACCATGAGGGACTGTGTGCACCATGGGCCGATGGAAAAGGGCAGACCAGCGAGTTACAGAAGTATAAATCAAGAGGCAGCGCCCAGCCATTCATTCATTCCTGCGTAAGCCATGCGGAAGCGCTGCCATAGCGACTTGTGCGAGGTGGTCTGCAGTGAGCCCTAGGACGAAGAGGGTGAGAAGGAGCTTAGCCATAGCAATAGTGGTAGCAGCGGCCATAGTCGCCATAGCTATTAGAAGGGAGTAGCATGTGTGTGTGTGTGCGTGCATGTGTGTGTGTGTGCGTCTACAGTGTGAAGCGTGTGGGATATCCAGGGTGATCCGGTGTGTGAACAGCAGCGTCGTGTGAGTGACGAACAGAGATTTGTATAGGTGCTGATGCGCCATAGCCATCTGAAGTGAGATTGTATCTGAACTGTGTTCGTGGTTACCATATCTCTGAGTTTTGAGTGGGCGCTTGTCGCCAGTTTGCTGCGCAACCTGTTTGCATGCATGTGAGGTGTGAATGAAAGCGAGTCTGATTGCAGGTGGTTCGAGAAAATAAAATGAAACTGTTGTTGCTAAGGGGTAGCCTCTAACATTATTGTGCCCATCTGATCCTGTCAGGTCTTGAACTCATGATCTGGTTATCAACTGTTACATGTGCGTGCCTACCATTCAGCCACGTTGCCTCCTTTCCCCTTTGATAAATGAAGTCTGGGTTTCTTTCCTCTCCTTCTCCCATCTCTCTCCTGCTTATTTTTTTCGTACTACACGAAATGGAAATTGAATTGCTGCTTTAGAATGTTTCGAAGGGTTGGAAGAATTTGTGTTCTCCCCTCGAGGATTTCTTCTTTTGACTGGTGTCCTTGGAGACCTTCATTCGGCGAACTTTCCTTGACGAGCGTTTGAATTGATGGACTGCAGGTGTCAGCTTCAACAATGTGCAGCAATGTCCGGTGCGAACTGAAATCCCAACACAAGCCCAGTCTCTTTTGGCTTTTTCTTCTCTCTCTCTCTCTCTCTCTCTCTCTCTCTCTCTCTCTCTCTCTCTCTCTCTCTCTCTCTCTCTCTCTCTCTAAATGCCCGGTTGCCTTTCGATATATACCATGCTTAGCTGGCTTAACCCACTGCCAACCCCACCCTTCGCAAACCGAAGGAGGAGGTGTGTGTGGGAGAGAGAGAGAGAGAGAGAGGTGAGGAGAAACTGGTAGGAGATGGGGTGGGAGTGTTCTAGAATAAAAGTTTCAAGTTTAGCTTTTTCATGAGACGTTTGCTTCTTCGTTCAACCGTTTGTGGATTTTCTTGTTCTTTTCTTCTCGTTTGTGTCCTATCACTAAACCCACTGGAGAACGATGTTGAAACGGGAAAATGTAATTTCCCAGTAACAAGTAGGAAATCATGCTTTCAAGTTTTCAATGAAAGTATTCTGAAATTTTGGCATGGAATTCGAAGCGAACCAGTCCGGTAATCTGTTGTATAGTTTGTACTATTCTTTTGTGTAAGTTTTTATTGTCATGATGTTTGTGTTCTCTGTGTGTGTGTGTGTGGTTGTGTGTGCAATTTCCCAATAATAAGTAGGAAAGCATGCCTTGCTGTTTTCAATGAAAGTATTCTAAAATTTCGGGATGGAATTAGAAGTGAACAAGTTCGGTAATCTGTCATATTGAAATTTGCCAAGTACTCGTCAAGTTCAACCTCGCATACATCAATGAACATTTGCATGAGAGTTCACACATGAAAAGCCAAATCGAGATACGATCAACACTTGAAGATGTTGTCTCCAATATTATTATGGATATACAAGAATGTGCGTCTCGAGCGGCTCTGCTGCGCACACACACACAACGGATTTGAACCAGGTGGCGGCTATGGATTCTCGCCCTTCTCTCTCTCTTTCTCTCGCTTCGTCTTGCTTGTCTCTCTGACTTGGCCCGCTCTGCCTCATGCCCTCTTCTAGATGGATACACCCGCTCAGGTAGCTTACACATTGGCGCCTATGGCCGCTGTCCTCCTGCTCTAACTCTAGCTTAGCTATGGAGTATCTCACAAGTGCCCTCTTCTGCTTCAGGCGCACAGTGCCCAAGTTGCCTTAACGCACAAGCAGCAGCAGCGCTTCTGCATCTCGGAACCAAACGAGTGATGAGCCGCTGCACTGTAGCAGCTAAATATAGGACTTGGCTTCACTTTGCTTTGCTTGGCTTGGCCTGCTTCAGACAGTACTGGTCAGCCGTGGCCTGTCTGCTGCATGCCCTTTGTCGGTCCGGTAGCTTCCACACTTTCCTGGGACATGCTGCAAAATTGGACTTTGGACTGTCGGACCGGACTGGACTCTTCCAAATTTTTCTTATCGGGTACCGGACGGACTCCTTCCGACCTATGACGCTTTGGTATCGACACCTACCGACCTACAACGTTTCGGACCCCTAGACCCTACGGCCTACCCTACTGGACTGCTCTGGGACTGGGGACTTTTCGGGACCCTGGGACCGGGACTGGGCGTCTGCCGCGTGAATCCTTTCACTCCCGCCGGGCTGGTTTCGAGGTTCTCCGAGAAAAATCTTATCTTTATCTATCATAGATGTTCATTCCTCTCCGAGCCGTCTCATAAAAGGAGACAATGTGAGGGGCTGTCTGTACTAGTTCCTCCCTAGGGAACCATCGGTCTTCGCTGGGTTCCTGACTGGCAAACCTGACCTTGTATTGCCACTGCGGCCTCCCTCAGTGACCTGTTCGGAAAGTATCTTCAGCCACTATTTGGTGTACGTCGTAACCTCAATCCAAATCAGGTGGAATCATGGAATGTCGAGAGGGAAACTGATCGTTTGTAATACAGGGAAGCAACTTAGATGCGTGGGATACTCGATACGTATGCAGGTGGAGTGGAATCTCGATAGTGTAGGACAGACCATCTGCCTCTCCTTTGACATCTAAGAATTGCCATGGCCCCCTATACGCAGGTAGCAGTTTCTGCTAGATCCCTTCTTCCGGAGCGAACTCCTTAGATTTTACCCATACCAAATCTCCTACCACAAACTGCGACAGACGTCGGTGTTTGTTTGCCTGCTCCACCATCCCATCTGATGCTGCGCTTCAAGGATGTTCTTCTTGACCTGTTCTAAGTCCTTCTCGTACTGGATAGCGAACTCCCTGGTACCGGGCGGCAACCTTTGAATCTGATCCGGGTTCAGACAGTCAATCGGACGTCGGGGTTGCCAACCTTTGTGCAGTTCATTGGGGGTGCGTGTAGCAGACAAGTGCACCGAGTTGTTATACGTAGACTGCACTTTGGGAAGATGGTTGTCCCTATCGATCCGGTAGGGCCTATTGTACATGTGACAAGTGCACCGAGTTGTTATATGTAGACTGCAGTTGGGAAGATGTTTGCCCCTATCGATCTGGTAGGGCCTAATGTACATGTGTAGCACTTGCTGAGCAGTTTGTTCATCTGCTCGGTCTACCCATTGGTCTCCGGGTGTCTACTGGAAGACATGGTCAACTTTGATCTATATACTTTAATCAACTGTTGCCAGTGCTCGCCCATGGATCTGCTATCTCTATCACTAACAATCGTTAATGGGTGTCCGTAATCCTTAACCCAATGATTGAAGAATTCTCTAATCACTAAATTTGTCTACTACCACCATCACTTGACTCTTACCGCTTCTTCTCTTGACCTTTGTGTCCATAAAGTCAATAGATATGGAGTCACCGAGACCGGACGGGACAGGTAGCGGCCTGAACAGGCCAAGCGGGGATGGTGTGGAACTTTTGTTCCGCTGACACACTTGACAGCCCTGGATATAGGCAATGCAGTCGTGCTTCATGCCGACCCGGGTGTAGGACCGGAGGAGATTAACATAGGTTTTCTCAAAACCGAAATGGCCCTCAGTGTCGTGGCACTCCCCTAGGATCAGACTTTTGATTGTCTCGTTGTTCGGGATGCACAGTTGGTCGAACCTGTTTGTTTTTTCGAACAGTAGTCCGTTGGTTACTCTGTAGTCTGGGACTTCGTGTGGTGCAGTCTGCACCCTTTTAATTAGCTCGTTGTAAACGGGATCGTTAGTGTATGCAGCCTTGATTTGCTGCTTTAGCTCGGCGCCTGCATCTAGGTAAGTCAGGATGGCACTGAAGAAGTCTGCGCATCTACTCAACGCAGCAGCAACGACATTGTACTTGCCTTTGACTGGCTTCAATTCAAAGTCAAACTAATCGATCTCCCCAACCCCCAGTCAACTTTGGGGTCATTTGGGCTTGGGTTTTCAACCAGCGTAGGGTCCCGTGGTCAGAATAGACTTTAAAATGTCTTCCTAGGAGATAGTGTCGCTAGTGGTACAGTGCTTCTCTCAAGGCGAACAGCTCGCGTTCGTACGTCGACGCAGCGACCTTCTCACTAGGTAACCTACAAGACATGAATTATACGGGTCTGTACCCCTCTCCGTCATTCTGGTGGAGTACAACGCCAATTCCGTATTGGCTCGCGTTAGTAGTGACAATGAATGGAAGTGATGGGTCTGCCACCTTAAGGACCGGGTACTCAATCAACGACTTCTTCAATTTCTTGAAGGTTGAGGTGCAGTCTTTGTCCCAATTCCAAACTGTTTCCTTCCTCAGCAGTTTGCGCAGTGGTGCAACTATCATGGTGAAATTCCGTACAAATTTTCGTTAGTGATTGGCTAAGCCTAAAAACGATCGCAGTCGCCAGTCAGTGTGTGCTGGGTAGGCCTATCTTTGATTGCTGCTTTTTTCGCGTCTTGCAGTCGGACTCCATCTCCATCCAACACGTGGCCTATAGATATAGCACTTGACGCTTTGCCCATTCACACTTTTTCGGGTTCAGCTTCAACTTTGCAGTGGGCAGCTTCGTTAATTTCAATGCAGATGCTGCTGGTGCTCCTCTAAAGTCTTACGAAAAATTCAAGATTTCATCTAAATAATTAACTACAAATTTGTCTAGCCATTCACGAAAGAGATCGTTCATGCATCTTTGGAAGGTAGCAGGGGCAGTCGTCAGACCAAACGGCATGACCAAAAACTCGTAGTGACCGTAGCGAGTCCTAAAGGCCGTCTTGTGCTGGTCCTCGGGCTGTACCTCTATCTGATGGTAGCCCGGTTTCAGGTCAATCTTGGAAAAATACTTCCATCCCTGCACCCTATCCAGCAGATCATCTATTCTAGGCAAAGGTTCGACGTTTTACACTATAATCGCGTTCAAACCCCTGTAGTCAATGCACATGCGCAGTTCGCCCTCCTTTTTAGGCACAAATAGGACCGCTGCGCCATACGTTGAGGAGCCCTTTGGGAGTCTTGCTACCGGACTCTATCTCTATTTGGTGCTTGATTTCCCTTTCCACTACTATCCGGGTCTCTACCACCTCAGCGAACTCTTTCAGCAATTTTTCAATTGTGGGTGGTGTTGGCTCCTCCTCCTCCTTGCCTTCATTAACCGGTCTAACATACGCTACGAAGATGTGGTCAACCAAATTGGCCTTGACCACGTGCCTGGCGAACGTAGGGGCACTCATACAGCAAAGGGATAGACTGGACTCTGCTCCAAACTCGTGAAACAGTCGCATTTTCATTTTGCCACCATCGGGGTTGGGCAGCCAGCACTCATGCTCGCCCATCTTCACTTCAGCCCGCGCAGCCTCTCCTCAATCCGCCCCTAGAATCAGGTCAAAAGGTAGGCTATCCTCCACTGAGAGGGTTAGGGAGTGCATAACTCTTTCTACCTTGTTCCCCCCCTCCAACCGGAAGTATGCCTTTACCCCTTCGACGTACTCCTCTACGCGCGTTGCACGATTGTTTGCCAGCCTGCTCACGACCGGATCATCCAATTTCAGAATCTTCATGCCGAGGTGCATCTTCTGCAGTCCCCTTTGGCTAATGTCGCTACGTGTAGATCCACTATCAACTAACGCGCCCACTCGCTCTTTACTGATTTCTACGTCTGCTAAGATTAGAAAGCTTGGCGAGGACTGATCAACTCATCACGCATGCTTGCGTGGGAACCACCCAGAGAGACCCTAGCACAAGCGGTTTCCAAACAGCTAACTGGGTGGGGTGGGGCCCTATGCCAGTCTTTGCCATCGGGGCCTTCATACAGGAGGGTGTCTGTTCAGCGCGCGCTTTTGCCTGTCCGTCTGTGTCTGAAGGCCCAACAGGAGCAACTGCGACTCCTACTGGATGCTCCCTTTTGGGTAGCTGTAGTCAGGGCAAAAGCAAACAATGTTGTTGGGATCACCACATTTTAGGCATTGGTTGGCCTTAAGCCTTTTCTCCCATTGCCTGATGCCCATCTCTTTCCATGGCTCTCTTTGCCGCAATCCCTGGATGTGTTGGCCATGGTTTGCACCCTCTACCTCTTCCGTCTGTGGAGGAGGAACCGCGTCCACCTTGCGGGGAACCATTACCCCTACCTCCCGTGTAATAGCTACCTTCGCCACTACTCCGCTGGGTGCCATGTCCTCTTCCTCCATCTCTTCCTCGGCCTCCTCTTCCTCCTTAATCTATGTTTTCATAGGGCAGCTCCTCTATTCGACCACCCTCGATTGTGACCAGAAGACTATCATTTCCCTTTATGCTACCGGCTATCATTTTGTTCTTCCAGCGACCTTCTTTCTTTAGGTCCTTCCAATAATGTGAATAGTTTGCCTCTTGGACAAAGTCGGCGTGGTCTACGACCATCTTGCTAAACTTTTCATATGTCATGCCCGCTTCACTGGTTTGGGCATATAGTTGGGATCGATGGGGTTCAGGGAGTGCTCGTGCAAAGTTGTTCAAGATTTGTATTGGAGTGACACCATGCTCGAGGTACTGCAGAGTTCGCCCATGGTGGTCTTTAGTGCCGACACACTCTTCCATTTTCGATCGGATATGTTGAGGATCAGATACTCCGTACATCTGGCCAGGTTTTTGTCCTCAAACCTACGTTACCAGCTGTCCGATCGGGAGAGGTCTCCCCCGGACGTCTCCGGGAGACGGTCGAGGGGGAGTTGTTCGGAAAATCGGACAACAGTTTTTTTGCCACTAAAAAAAAAAAAAGAAAACAATGGGGGGGGGTCTGCGCACTGCCGGGGGACCCCCTAGAAAAACTAGAAACAGGCTTTGGGGTGTGTGGGGGGTTGGGGTTGGGTGGTTGGGTGGTTCCAATGGAGAGGCCGCTTGTTTCTAATTGGCAACTTGAGCACGGCGCAGCAACTGCCACTGCTTTGTCTGATGCAACGGTTGCGGTAGGTGCAGTAATTGTTGCATGTACACCATCCGCTGCAGCAGATGCAGCAGGTGCAGTGGCAGCAACATCCGCTGCAGCAGGTGCAGCAGCTGGTACAAGTACTACACCAACTGCATTCCACCCACATACACACACACACACCACATACAACACCATTTCAATTGATTGCCTGAGTGATTGAAAGAATGGGTGACCAAGCGACAGGCTGATTGACTTACATACCGACTGACGGACTAACTGACTGACTTACTGACTGATTGCATGCCTTAGTAAGTGATTGTGTGACTAACTGACTGACAGACAGACTGACTCACTGGCATACACAAAGAAACACGAACAGACACACACAAACACCCACACACAACGACATTCGCATTTGCTGAACACGGTTGCACATTGCTATTGCGATTTGAAGCACGATAAACAAATAAGAGAACCACGACCGATGCAACATATAGAGTTCAACTGTGAACTTCAACAACGAAATGGAAGTCATCCTCTCTCTCTCTCTCTCTCTCTCTCTCTCTCTCTCTCTCTCTCTCTCTCTCTCTCTCTCACGCAAACGCACATTGCATCCACCTCACTCTGAACACGCCATCCACACTCCACGGCCCCCCCACCCAAGACACCCACACTCCACCGCCCCCCACCCCAGACACCCACAAAGACGAATGCACGCAGATGGACGAACACCACCACACTACACCCCACTAGTCCCATGTCACCGGTGCCATCGGAGTTGTTGTCATCTCCTGCCTCATCCCGACCCCTCATACGAGTCTCCTCCGCATAGTTGCTGTCGGACATCTCCTTTGAGGTTTTGTCGTCATCATTTTCATTAGGATCATCATCCAGCACGAGGGTAGAGGTTTTCTGCATCTCTCTACCAGCTTCTCGAGATCGTGTACGGACACCGGCTGCAACACCAACTCCTGCAGCAATCCCCTCCGCAACATCGCCAGTCTTTGCCCTACCATGGCCCAGTGCACTCAGTGCCCATGACTGGTGTTGCCCTACCAGCTGCTCGAGATCGTGTACGGACACCAGCTGAGCCACGAGGCCGGCCACGACCTCGTCCGGTGCCTACTATTGGACGTGCAGGAGGTGGCTCCCCACCTACGTCATCCTCCCTTTGTCTCTTCTTCCTGCCATCACGACTCGTTTTGACATTATTGCGGATAGCCGAAGACTGTCGTGTCGGAAGCGGGGGCATGCCCAGCGGACTGCGGTCGGGTGTGGTAGCTGTCCTACATGGCGATGACCATAGCAACGTGGGACGAGTAGGGCCCTTGATAAGCATGGAAGTGTGGGGTGAGTGGACGTCGGTAGGCGCTGGCGATGGCGGTATGCCTACTAGACTAGTCAAGGGTGCGCGACTTGTCATTAACAAGTTGCGTTCCCCTCCCTGCATCGCGTTTCTGGAGCCGCTGTCGACAACTCCCCTACTCCTCCAGATGCTCGCTCTTGAGCTGCCAGGCGATATACTGGCGACGTGCAATGTACACCAAGATCCACCCCCTGCGAGGATTGTGTGGCACCTGGGGGCAGTGGCGGTATCTCGTAGAATAAACCCCTAGCGAGCGTGATGTCTCAAGCATGGCTCTCCTGCAGGGTATCCCTACCCCTCTCCTCCATCCTGTCCTCAGCCATCACAATGCCCTCATCTCGGACGACACTCTCGTCAATCCTCTCACTCACTTTGTCA